GTTTAATTCTGTTTCAATTTGCTTCTTTTTTTTTTTTTTTTTTTTTTTTTTTTGAGACAGGGTCTCCCTGTAGTCCCAGCTGGACCTAGAACTCACTATGTAGACGAGGCTGGCCTTGAACTCACAGACACCCACCTGCCTCTGACTTAGAAGTGCTGGGGCTAAAGGTGTGTGCCACCACACCTGGCAATATTTTATTTTATGTTTTTTTTTTAATTTTAATTTTATTTTGGTCTTTTTGAGACAGGGTCTCCCTGTAGCCCCAGCTGGCCTGGAACTCACTGTGTAGACCAGGATGGCCTTGAACTCAAAGATCTGCCAGCCTCTGCCTCCCAAGTGCTGGGATTAAAGGTGTGACCACCACACCCAGCAGTAGTTTTTAATATGTTTTTTTTGTTGTTGATGTTTGTTGTTTTGTTTTCTTTTTGTGCCTTTAAAAAATTTATTTAATAACCACATAATTAGTAGAAGCGTTGACATAGTATTTCTTTCAAAATTGGCTGCAATTTTTAGGTTCACAGTGTTGAATTAATACAGGTACACATTATTATACTCAGTATAAACCCTATAAGACATAAAATTGACTGAGATTTTAACCTTTAAAAAAGATCTCCATTTCCTTTTAAAATATACTTTCATAAAGAAAAACTTCATTTTTAGTGCAATTACACTTAGATGTTTGCACGTATCTCTAATTTCTATATATCTGATTATTACTAGTCATAGTTACTTTCTGAGATCCTTGGCACCTGAGCATGGCTATAAATTCATCAGGTAGATTTCAATGGTAATATTTTTCGTATCTACTAATTAACATAAAGCAAATTTTTATGCTTTTTTCTCAAATATAACTCATTTTTTTAATTTATTGATTTTTTTTGGTGTGTATTTCATACAGAACATCCCAAACACTCTTACTCATCTTTATACCCGCATCCCAAATGGCTCTCTCCCATAGCCCCTGCCCCCAACTGGGCCCATATACTCTGTCATCCCCGTTACTGTCCATTGTGTTGTCAGTGCCCCCAGCAGTTCCCCAGTGCAAGTCCATCCACTGAGTCTAGTCAGCCTATCTAGTGTTCCTTGTTTAGCTCTTCCTCATCCAGCAGCAATCAGTTGCCATCATTCCTTTAGATAAGATTGGGGTCTGCTGTTCATTTTCCCAGTTCTATGCTGTGTTACTGTCTGGGAGTCTCTTGGGCCACCCTGGCCAACAACTCAAAGGAAGGTATCTCTTATCTGGCATTGTTTCTTATTATGTAGCCTTTAGCTATACACATGGACCCTTAAAGAATTATACTGATCCCTTTAAATCTTTGGTTATACTTTCCTTTTGGATGTTTAAGACCATACAGTTGTCCCAGATAAACCAATTTATTTTTACTCTTAAGGTCATTTGAGGACCTGTTCTCCGGGGTCACGTGGGGTTGGGAGGAGCCCCTGGCTCCTTTTATCAGTTCCATCTATGTGAACATAAGTCAAAGGTCCTGCTCAACTTTGGCTGGCTCCAATTGGAATCATGGAGGAAATATTTCCTCTGTGTTGACCCTCTTTGTAGCGTGGACACTGGTTCAAGTCCATCTGGTGGGGTCTTGATAGCCTCCTTGATCAAGAGGACAGGTGAATCACCACAGTTTCAGGACATTTTGAGAGATATTCCATAGTCCCCTGGAACTTAGTCGACCTTGGAGGGCAAGGAGCAAAAACTATCCTTTAAGCCCCTCTGATCAGATTAGTATAGGCCTCAAAGGACAGCTGTTAAACATCTAAGAATGTTAGTTCCACCATTCTGGTACTTTTTAAAAAAAATTATATATTTAACCACATGACTAGAAGAAGCATTTCATTACGGCATTAATGTATTCAATAACAATTTCCAGAGCAAAGATACATCTCTTTCAGTATTCTTTGTAACTTTTTAGATTCACAGTTGAATTAATACAGTTATACAATATTGAGCTCAGTAATATATTTAAATATTATAAGGTTTTCAGCATTGATCATAACTTTTATTTCGTCTTTATGTAGCTTTATTTTCTAAAAAGCAGTTACTGACTTTTGTTATTCTAGCTCAATTTTAGATTAATTTTTTAGGAAAAAAAAGTTCTTGCGCTTTTGGTTAGAATTTCATTAAACATATTAATTTGGAATGAGTGTTTAGTCACCCACCCAGTCCCATTACACTCAATTTATTAGAAGTTTTAAAAAATATATTTTTGTAGCTCATTAGAGTTATTCTGTCTTATTGGTGTGATATTTCTTATTGGTCTTGTGTTAAGATTATTTTCTATCTGTATATTTTTTTATCTGTATATTTTCCATCTGTATTCAAATACAGTTTCCCCATTTTACATCACTTTGCAGGTATTTGTTAAAGCAATCAATTTTTATATATTGCCCGATAGTTATTTTACATAGTTTTTAATCTTTACATTTATTTATTTTGGGTTTTCTAGTGAAGTAGAGCCTTACATAAATAATGATTCTTTCTCCCTCTTATCTGTTATAAGGATATAATTCTTTTTGTAAAAGATTTTAAGTTCAGTGGCGGGGGGGTGAGTATATCTTTTAGATTGGTTAGAATTTAATAGAACTATGTAAAATTATATTGTCTGTTTTATTGGTCTTAAGGATATTTAGCTGTTGGTCTAATTAAATAGATAATTATCAAGCTAAGAATGGATTCCTGTCTCATTTTAATCTGTAAGTATAAAATATATAATATTTTTTTATCTCACAGGATGTTCAACTAAAAGTGAAAACATACTTGCTTGGAACTGATTTGTCTATATTTAAATATGATGATTTCATCTTTGTTTTGGATATAATCAGCAGGTAATGTTTGAGATACTACCTTCTTTGGTTTAAGTCATTCAACCTTAAGAATAACGACATCAGAAATTAATGAGTTTTTATATATAACTTCTTCATGGAATTTAATATAATTTTATATTCATAATAATGGCTTCAGGGTTTATGTGTGAGTATATTTAAATATTTCTACCCTTTGGCTGTATTAAAAAATTACGGGTTTAGGATCATTAGAATTTTTTTCAATATTCAAATTTTTATGACATTATCATTAAAGAAAAAAGAAACCCTGAATTTGGGTCGGGGGGGGTCTGTCAGATTTTTTGTTTTCTGTAAATGTGTTCCTGAAATTTATACAGACTTTATATTCAAAATTAGGTTGATGCAAGTTGGAGAAGAATTTTGTGGCAGCAAGTCTGAAGTTTTGCAAGAATCTATTAGAAAACAAAGTGTCAATTATTTCAAGAACTACCACAGGTAAGACAGCCAAAAAAAATATGAATAAGTTTATTTAGAGACTATTTTTGTCTAGTTCTTACTGTTATTAAGATTAATTGATATAAAGCAATTCCTTTTGGGGCTGGAGAGATGGCTCAACAATTAAGAGCACTGGCTGACCTTGTGCAGGACTCAGGTTCAGTTCCCAGCACCTACATGGCAGCTAACAAGCATCTGTAAACCAGTTCCAGGGATCTGACACTGTCTTCTGAACCCACAGGCATTGCACAGATGATTGCACTTACATACATGCAGGCAAAACACTCGTACACATAAAACAAAATAGTAAATAAAATATTTTTTAAAAAGCTGTTTAACTTTGAATAAGTTCTTTGTATCTTTTTTTAGGATACTTAGAGATGTTTCATCAAAAATATCATAGAAATATTCTCATTTATTCACTGAAAATATTAATATATTATTAGTTTGGGGGAGGCTAAAAATATTAAAGTAAATATTGAACTGATTTCTTTAGGGGTGAAAATTGCATCCAGCTGGGGAAATCGTCAAGAAGCCCCAACTTTAACTGAGGAGTATTGACAGCTAATCACTGTTGGGTGAGGGAGAGTTGGTCTTCTTTAAGGGAGCGATGCAAATAGTCTGACCAGGCTCCAGTGGATGAACTCACACCAAGGGACATCTGATCTGGAGACACAAACTTGACTCAATAGGTCTTACAATACATGACAGAATGCATGAAATCCAGTGGGGGTGGCACAGTGAGTACAGATAGGAGAGGGGGGTCTAAGTATGATTAAGATGTATTGTATAAAATGTACAAAAATTCAATAAAACGTTTATTGGAAAAAAATTATGTTGGAGTGATTATGGAATGACTACTTACTAGTCAGTTAAAAAATTGATCATTAAACCAGGGTTACTGAAAGATTTTAGTCAGTCTTCTGTTCTGTACATATGTGGTACAGGTACTAAAGACATTCAGTCAGCAGTCGGTAGGGGCAACACTCGAAGTGGCATGCTTCTGAGCATCCACTTGAGTAAGAAGACTTCTAGAGGAGGGGAAGCCAGAATTGCATGCTGCATTGCTTTGCTTTAGCCTTCACTGCTAACTTTGTGACTCGGCATTGTTTTATAAATAGAAGATGTCAAAGAATGTTCATATGCTCCTCATGCATAGATAGAGCCTGCTTCTCTTTGATGAGGTTGTATTGTGTTGTTAGAACTGGATTAAGGGAGAGGATGCTCAGGGTCTTGCCCCAGCTTTGGTTGCATGCCAGCTCTTTGATAATAGTTCATTCAAGCTCTCAGAGCTGTAGTTCTATCATTGTAAGTTGAAGTGACTGGATTAATGGTCTCCATAACTGTTGTCTGCCCAGTTTATCCTTTCTTCTTACTGTATGGTACATTACATTGATTGGAGCAGGTTAAAAAGCAGAGTTAATTATTCCCTGATGTGTTATACCAAAGCCTAAACTCGTTTAGCTTGTATACTGACTATAGCCATTTCTGACATTTTATCATTTAGAAAATGGTGAATGTCACATGATATGGTTCTGTCTACCATCAGTGCATTCTGAAGCACAGTTATTTCTTTCTAAAGCAAGATTGACTTGACAGGCAGTTTAGGAGTGGTGCCAGTGTATGTCTGTTGGATTGGCTAAACTTACATGAGACAGTGACTAAACTACACCCATTATTTCCCAGTTTAATAGTCCCTTCACTAAACTGTACTACATAAATACTGAAAAGTGTGAGATACAAATATTGTGTGTTTTTATTTCTTAGCAAGGTGCTTAAATGTCTGTGTATTGTGTTTTATGATTCTCTCCTGCCTGATAGGATTCTTGGAGAATGAGAAAAGCCTCATGTTATTGTTACTTTGTGTCCATTTAGGTCTTTAGTTGGAAGATACAGGTATAGGAAACAGGTGAAATAAGTGTTTGTGTTACTTGTTATTTATAGTGGTTGTAAAAATAAGTTTCATGCCATTATCCTTTTCTGGGACAAAATTGTATGAAGGTGTGCAGGAGCTTGCGAGATTTTATCTTTTAAAGTTACCGATTTTATTCTCTCAGTTTCTTTTTGTTCATGCGCTAATGGTTTGTACACACCCAGAGCTACCATTCTGCTAGATGTTACAGAATTTCCAAAAGTACAATATCCTAGGTGAAACAAGGTAAAATGATATAACACTGTGTGACTGTCAAAACATCCTGTTTAATAACAAGTGCATTTGAGTTCATCGTTACTCTAATAACGTTATAAAATGTTTCAAGGACTCTAAAGGTACATTAAGAGGGGAGAAGTTACCTGTCTTTTTAGGGATGCCTGAGAAAGATTATTATTTTCAAGACTGTGATTGGTTGAAAAAATAACACTCCCTTTTCTAGAACACATACAACAAATGTCAGGTCCAAGTCCCCAGAACCATAAATGCGTTCTTACTCAGAAACCTCTGTGAGGGTGTGATTATGTAAAGAATTTTGTGATGCCTTGAGGAGGGTGTTGCTCACACTGGTAGAACACACCTTTAGCATCTCTCTGAGATCAGTCCCACAACATCAAGTGTTTTTTGGTGTGTGTGTGTGTGTGTGTGTGTGTGTGTGTGTTTAATAAAGTCTTCTCTGTTATCTGGGTGGGTACTAATGCCATCTAAAATAAGAGAAGGGCTGTGACAGAGATTTTTTACAGACATCAAGGAGGAGGAGGGATGTGAAAGGGCAGAATTGCTGTGACCAAAGGTAGTGGGAATGCCAGCAAGCTACTGGCTGCTGGAGCAGGTGGACGGATTTTCTCTTAAATCAGAGTCTCTGGAACCATGCAGTCCTGCTACCAGCTAGATTTCAACTCAATGATACTGATTTCTTATTTCTGGCCTCCAGAACTACATGAGAATAAATTTCTCTTGCTTTAAGTCACTCAGTTTGTGGTAGTTTGTTGAAGGAAATTATACTACAGACTGGAATTGCTTGACTCTGTCGTACGTATGCTTAAGATTTTGAGGAACTACCAAACTGTTTTCCAAAGTACTTAGACCATTTTACATTTGTACTAGTATTGTATGGAGGTTCCAGTTCTTCAAGTCAGTATTTAGTTTTCTATCTTTTTTTATTGTAGTAATCCTAGTAGATGGGAGTGGTATCTTGTTATGAAGTTCAATTTTCATTTCTCTTATGACTCAAGGTGCTGCCAGCTTTTTAAGTGCTTCTTTGGCATTTTGTATATTTTCTATGCAGAATGTCAGTTTAAAACTTTTGCCCATTTTTTGACTAGGTTATTTTTGGATTATAAAGTTCTATAGTTTTAGTTCTTACAATAGACACATTTATTTGAGTTTTTTGTCTGTGGCGTTAGGTACAGACACAGTCACTTTGAGAAGTTATCAGCCATCACCTGCCCAGATACTGCTTTAACTTATTCTTCCTATCTTCTCCATGCGGTTGTATGCATGCAGGATTTTGTGACTGTCTTACATAGTTCATTCTCTGTCTGTCCCTCCCTGCTTCCCATCCTCCCTCCCTCCCTCCCTCCGTGTGTGTGTGTGTGTGTGTGTGTGTGTGTGTGTGTGTGTGTGCCTGGAAGCCAAGGTTCACATTGAATATCTTTCTTAGTTACTCTCCACTAAATTTTTTGAGACAAGGTCCCTCACTAACTAAAGCACCTCAATTCAACTAGACTATCTGGCAGCAAGCCCCAAGGATCTTCCTGTTTCTGTTTCCCCAGCACTGGGATTATAGGTATCCACTACCTTACCTGGCTCTTCAAGGGTGCTGGGGATCCAAACTCAGTTCCTCATGTTAGTACAGCAGATGCTTTACTGACTGAACCATTTCCCTAGCCCTTGTTATATCTTTTATGATCTTTCCTATCTCATTTTATTTTTAATTTGTGTGTCAGTTTGGAGATATTTTCTACTGATCTTGTCTTCTGGTAACTCTAGTCTGCTATTTTATTTCTCTGAAAGTTTGAGGGTTTTTTTTTTTTTTTTTTAAGTTTTTTGAGAAAGGGTCTCCCTGTAGCCTCAGGTGGCCTGGAACTCACTATGTAGACCGGGTTGGCCTCTATCTCACAGAGATCCACCTGCCTCTGCCTCCTGGGTGCTGGGATTAAAGGCATGTGCCACCATGCCTAGTGCCAGTCAGTTTTTTTTATAATTTGTTTTTATTGAATTTTTTGTGTATTTCATAATAATGTCCTTGCCCAATTACCCCAATATTTGGAGAAGTTCCTATTTTTGTAAATTCCTTTATTTATTGCCTCTTTATATTTGAGTCTGGATTTATTAAGTCTAGATTTGGTTTTAGCATGGTAGCCATATCTTTTGGTTGAATGAAGAATGGGGTAGGGACTGGGCCATTATTGAAATGAAAGTAAGGCTTTGTTTTTCTGCATGTGCCTATGTAGTGTAATGATGACTCAGGAGATGAAGTGAGGGCAATTGCACTGAAGAAAGATCACTGGCATACGTGATTAGTGGACTGTCAGATGCATGCACGCTTGTGGGAATAGTCACCAAATTAAAGGTCTTTGGAGAATGATAATTATCCTGATATTGTGACTTAGTTAGTATTATGACAGTGGACATATTTATGATGTGTGTGTATTATTATTTGTAATCTCATAAAATCTGTTATTTCTCTGTTTTGGCATTAATATGAAATTTGTTAAGAAAAATTTAGGTACATGAGTTGGTGACAGGCTCTTGAGTCCCCTAACAAAAAGTGATAGTTCCTACATATTTGTTATTTCATACTCTGCTAAAAGTGTTCATTTTAGTAAATAATTGACAAACTTTTTCTCTTAGGGCTCATAGGATAACAACTAAAAGTGAACACTTCTGGTTTATTGTTTTATTTGCATGGGTTCTCAAACTGAATGATGTTTGTGATAATTCTATTTTTGTATTGTACTTCTCTCCTCAGTTCTTATATGTAGTTTCCCTTCTTTTAGAGTGTTCATTTTCTTTCTTCTTCTTCTTCTTTTTTCTTTTTAAAGAACACGACTCGATGAACTTAGAATGTTCTTAGAAAACGAGACATGGGAACTTTGCCCTGTTAAGTCAAATTTCAGTATCTTGCAACTTCATGTAAGTTTTTCTTAAGAACAAAATGTCTCTTTTAGTCATCATTTTGTTTTTCATTTAATTTAAAAAAGTACTTGAGCACATTTATAAACCAAATTAAGGAACAATGCATTATCTTCCTTCCATAAAAGTAATTTATAACAGGCCCTTTTATGAGAATTGTCCATTGATGGATACAAAAAATTTGCTCCTTACTTATATATAGAATTTTTGTAATTTCCCAAAGAGAGCAGTTGGCACTTAAATTATAGCACAGTTAGCAAATTTGCTTGCATTTACAAAATGCCTCAGAAATAAAAGAAGAACTTATAAAAATACTGATTTTTATTAGTTAATTGAATTCTTTGGGTCTTTATAGAATAAACAATCTGTGAAAAGCTCTAATTGATTTGATTTTTTATTGAAACACATTGTAGTAATTATTCCTGTATTAAAAAGACTGTGTTCTCCAGATAAAAATGTCACAAGATAGTGCTTATACTAGAAACATGTCCTTATACTAAAACATGTCCAAACACTGTGTTTGGTGTTTGCCTTTGAATGGAATGGCTTTTTAGAAACATTTTTTTAAATCTGGGTACATTAAATGGTACCTGATTAGGCTTTTTTTGATACAGATACAGTCTTTATGCTTTTAAAATTTCATATCCAGTTCTATCATATTGTTTTCCTAATATGGAATTATTAAAAACTCTAAAACATGTCAATTAATACATGCTCAGGGACAGCATAATTAATATAAATTTTAATTATCACTAACAACATTAAATTGACAGAGTATATAAATTCTAAAACAATGAAAGTTTCTTAAAATTTAGAATTTTAACATTAATTTAGAATAAACTTTTAAAAACATTTTATTTATTATTTTTATTTCATGTGTATGCATGTATTGCCTGCATGTGTGTAGTGTAAGTGCACCAATTTCACAAGAGTATGTCAGTGAGCCCAGGTCTTCTGAAAGAATAACCAGTGTTTTTAACCACTGAGCCATCTCTTCAGCCCCAATTTTAGAATATTTAAATAATTTCTTTTGAACTTTTAAAAATATATTTTATTCATTATTTTTATTTTATGTGTATGAGTGTATTGCCTACATGTTTTTGAGTGCACCCGTGTTGTGCAGTGCCATGGAGGTCAGAAGAAGGCATCAGATTCCCCTTGGAACTAGAATTAAGGACGGTTTGTAGCTGCCATGTGGGTCCTGGGAATCAAACCCGGGTCCTCTGCAAGAGCAATCAGTGCTCTTAACCGCTGAGCCATCTCTCTAGCCCCTGAATTTTTATTTAATAGATTGATTGTTCATATTTGCAAGTATAGTTGGTAGAATTGTAAGAGAACTTTTAAATTGAGAATTATCAAATCATTCCCACTTAAAGAAGCATGATATTTTTCAAAGTGTTTATCTTGAAAACCATTTACAACTTACTTATTCACATATATTCCTGTAGATTTCTTAAAAATCATGCCATATATTAAATACTTGTTTAGGATTATAAAAATAATGTCATGATTCTTTGGGATTACGTTGTATCTGATATAATGTATAGTTAAAATTTATAAAGAAAACAAACTGGGGCTGGGTGGGACTCAGTGGTAGAGTGCTGGCCTAGCATTGTGAAGCTCTGTGCTTGATTCTAGCACCACTAAAATCAAAACAAACTCCAAATTTAGCAAGCCAGTATGCTTTTTAGAAATTTCAGCATTTAATACTATAATTGGACCTTTTACGAATAACATTTACTATAACAAACATTTAAATTTAGGGTTAATCTTTTAGATAATAGAGAACAGTGAGAAGTTGTCAAGAGTTTTCTATTCAGATAAACTTTAGAGATTATTTGAACTCCTATTTCAATTAGCTGAAACCTTGAACTTGGCCCTGAGTCCTCCAGACGCCTTAGTCTCCTCATCTTTGTAATGTGTAATTTGGAGCAGGTATTACCACTCTTGAATTCTAATATTTGTAATTTTCACAGTCTAGATTGAGCCTTTCATTTTATTTTGTTTTTGTTTTTTGTTTTTGAGACAGGGTCTCTCTGTAGTCCCAGATAGTCTGAAACTTGCTTATGTAGTCTAGGCTGACCTTGATTTCACAGAGATCGCCTGTCTCTGCCTCCCAATGCTGGGATTAAAGGCAGGCACTATCACATCATTTTAAAGATGAGGAGCTAGAGGCATAGAGAAGTCAGGTATTCCCAACAATTTAGAAGGAATTAATGTAATGGCTTAAAATAGCAACCTAGAGGTAGAATTAACATCTGGCCTAAAATGGTTATTTGTGTTGTGTGCTTCTTGGTACATAAAGGAAATTAAATGGAAGTTTATAGATACCAACCTAATAAAGATATGTACTTCATACTTTTTCATACATTTGTAAGCATATGAATAAGGAAAGTGACTTAGCAAAACTACTTCCTAATAATGGTATTGTGGATTAAAACTGTATCTTACTAGGACTTCTGCTGCTGTGTTAAGATTTTGAGATAATTAAATTAAAATTTCTTGTCATTTCAAATGTTTCTTGTCATTTCAAATGTATCTGTGCAGTTCCTTAAGGAAGGCCAAAGTTGCTTAACTTTGCAGGTAAAACTGACTTAAATAATAGTGTTGACTGAGTAGTCCTTCAGAAAACAGTTTTTCCAAGATTGTGATTTCAGACAACTTGTAAGATTCAAAGTGGAAGCTGGAGAGATGACTCAGCAATTAAGAGCACTGGCTGCTCTTGCAGTGGATCTGGGTTTGGTTCCCAGCACCCACATGTTGGGTAACTATAACTGGTTCCAGGGGATCCAGCGCCTTCTTCTGGCCTCCTCAGGCATTCATGCACGTGGTGTACTTAAATATATCCAGGCATTTATTTATTTACATAAATACATTCAGGCATTTATTTATTCACATAAATAAACAAACAAACAAACAAACAAACAAGGGCTGGAGAGATGGCTCAGTGGTTAAGAACACTGTTCTTGCTGAAGACCCGGGTTCGAATCCCAACACCCGCACATCAGCTAACAAGTGTCTGTAACTCCAGTTCCAGGGGATCCGACAGCCTCTTCTGTCCTCCCTGGGCATTGCATGACATGGTGCACTTACCTACATGCAGGCATAACACTCATACCCATAAAATAAAAATAATAAAATACAAAAAGAAAAAGATATGGCCTGTTCCATTTATTTAAAAATAAATAAAATTTAAAAAATAAGTCTAAAGAAGTTTTAAAAGTTAAGAACTTGAAAGTCGTGCTCCCCCTCCACTAGTTCTGTGTTTATCTTGATGGGATATGTTTGCATACTTGAATTTTGTTACTATTACTAACAATTATTTGGCTCTTTTAATGTATAGGAATTTAAATTCATGGAACAGTCTCGTTCCCCATCAGTTTCACCCAGTAAGCAACCTGTGTCAGCTTCTTCAAAACCTGTGACCTTGTTTGAGCAGTACTGTAGTGGAGGCAATCCATTTGAAATTCAAGCCAGCAACAAAGATGAAGAAACAGAAGATGTCTTGGCTTCTAATGGGGTATGTAGTGTTACAAAAAGCATTGTTTAAAAGTGTTCTACCCAGTGAGCGAGGTGATTTGATAGATTGTGTGGGCCTGTGGAGATAGCTCAGCAGATAAGAATGCTTGTCATGTAAGCATGAAGACCTGATTTAAATTTCTGAGCTGTCACATAAGAAGGTGGATGTGGCCTTATATTCACCTGTAACCTCAGGGCTGTGGGGGACAGACTCAGAAGAATCACTGCAGTTTGTTTGTTGTCTCCATGGAATAAGGTGAAGGGTACTAGAGCAGGTACCTGATGCCCTCCTCTGTCCTCTTTGCTGTGTACAATGCCATTCAGACCCATGTTCACACACGTGTGAATATGACACACAAACTGTAGACATACATACATATATAAAGGCTTGTCTTAAGTATGCCTCTATTCAAGATATGTTACATAATATATATTGTTGATTCCTCAGCACTATATCTTCAACAGCTAATAACTCATGTCTAACTGAAACTTGCCTAACCCAAGAATAGATCTCTTTATCACCACATTGAAATGGCGACCACTCTAAAAAGCAAAAAAATCACTGATATAAGCAAAGCAATACAAAATAGTTCCTATAAAAGATACTTGTTTGTAGTGTAAGCCAAAACAATAGAGGAGACCATTGTCTAGCTTGCTTTCTGCCACAGTGCACATGCTGAATGAACGTTGGGCGTGTTCATAAATGACTACAAAAGCATCCAAACATTGATTTTGGATGTTACAAATAAATTTTAGTGTATCATCATGAAGCTCGCTCTCTTTTTTTTATTTTTTTCAATTGGTCTTTTATGAGACAGGGTTTCCCTGTAACCCCAGCTGACGTGGAGCTCACAAGCCTGCCTCTGCCTCCCGAGTGCTGGGATTAAAGGTGTTCGCTACCATGCCCAGCTAAAGCTCTCTTGTTATAACCAGAAAACCTAGTTTGAGTAGAGTACTTGTCTGTATGTTGATAGAATCACCTTGTGTCTAAATGTAGGAAAATGCCTATAATATTTATAATTATTAGTATATAATTATTAATGTAACCTGGACTTTTCAGATACAACTTAAGTCCTTGAGAATCTGGGTCCATGTCTAAACAATACCTGACATTTTCTTTTGTAGTAATAGACTATCAAAGAATAGTTGAATTAGGAGCACAGGCTTCTTTCCATGCTGTCATCGTGGTGTTCTCCCCAGCTGTCATGGGGATAAGATGTTCTCATGGTGTTGTCTTTAGGATTCTGTGAGATAATCATGAAAGCAATCTATAACATTGATGGTGATGTTGGTAGTCATGCTGCACTGCTTCTGTTCTGTACACGGATTCCCCTGTCTTTTCCTTTGCTGGTGTTGGCCCATGGTGAGGAACATGTTAGGAAGGACTTCTTCTCTCAGTTGCGAGTCTACCATTTTTGTCCTTGCTCTCAGTAAGTCCCCAAGTGCTAATTGTTACAAAGTCACTCTTGCAACTGAGTCTTGGCATAATTAAGCCATCAGTCTCTGTGTTACATGTAGTTATTAAGCTAAGTAAATAGTTCTAGTACGTCAGAATTGAAATTGAGTGTGATGAAACTTTCAAAAGTTTTTTTTTTTTAATCCTAAATATACACTCTTTCTTACTTGAGGTCCACTGAGGTGTTAGCTTTGGTTGGTTTTTGCATGCAGCTATTTAATTTAATGTTTTCCATTTACAAATATACATATTCTATTTATACCCTTTTGTTTGCACTGGTTAAACAGGAAACAGAAGAGTATGATTCCTTATGGTAAAATTAAAGTTCACAATTTACTGTATTTGACCATTTCATGTAAAATTGTGTAAGTTTTGTGTTGAGAGGCTGCAGTAATGATGACTTCCCCTCTTGTTGCATATCCTGCTGTCCTCTTCAGTATGAATCTGATGAGCAGGAGAAGAGTGCCTACCAGGAGTATGACAGTGACAGTGATGTTCCTGAGGAGCTCAAGCGGGACTATGTGGATGAGCAGACAGGAGATGCGCCCATGAAGAGGTGACTCCTGAGTCCTTTGAGGGTTTTTAGGGACAAAAATTTAAACTTATAGGTGGTTATAACATTGAATGACAAAAATTAATAAACCTTAAAAAGTGATTCTTGAAAGACTGACAGTATATTTTTTTTTCCCTGTATCTATAACAGTGAAATTTTAGGGAAAAAAAATACTTATATGAAAAGTTCTAGTTAAGCAAAATCTCATTTGGCATTTCAGAAATCAACTTACCTAATAGAATTTAACTGTTATTGTGTTAAGAAAATTAATTAATTCTACATGGCTGAAAAGTTGATTGAAAGGCGGCTTTTCTTTTGGTGTATACAGCTTGTTTGACATTTTAAATTTTCTCTCGAATTTGCTTATTCAATAAGTGTTTGTGTGAATTCATCTGTCCCAGAGGACATTTTCCTTCACAGATACCAATCTCATTTTTTCTTTTTAACATATATACATTGTACAAAATAATGGATTTCGTGTGACACTTTCATGCATGCATATCATTGACATTGTTTTTTGTACAAGTATAATTTCTTTTTAAAAATAGTATCAAGTTAATGTTTTTTTCAAATCTTAAAAATTAGTTTATTATCTCAGGAGAATATTGAGCTAATCCAAGAGTTTTTAAAGTTCAGTAATTTTTGTTGTGATCTAATGAATACAGTAAGTCTCCCCTAATCCCCGTGTCTTTTGGATTCTATATTTTACCTTCTATTAAGGTTTCCTACTATTGGTTAAATTTTGTTTTATGAAAGACTTTAGTTTTCAATACTATGATAATTATATTAGAATTTTTTCACCTTTGTTCTGATTTTTTTTATGCTGAAGTGAGTTAATATCAGACATTTAGTTACTACAAATATATAGGGTTAAAATGTTTTATTTATTATTATTTTATTTTATTTTATTTTTATTTTTTGGTCTTTTTGGTCTTTTTAAGACAGGGTCTCCCTGTAGCCCCAGGTGTCCTAGAACTCACTATGTAGACCAGGCTGGCCTTGAACTCACAGAGATCTGCCTACCTCTGTCTCCCAAGTGCTGGGATTAAAGGCGTGCGCCACCACTCCCGGCTTTATTTATTATTTTTATTATATGTGTATGAGCGTATTGCCTGCATGTAGGTAAGTGCACCCATGTCATACAATCCTGCAGAGGACAGAAGAGGCCATCAGTTCCGCTGGAACTGGAGTTATGGACAGTTGTTAGCTGCCGTGTGGGTGCTGGGATTCGAACCAGAGTTTTTTGCAAGAACAAGCAGTGTTCTTAACCACTGAGCCATCTCTCCAACCCCAAATATATAGGTTTTAAATAATAGATTTAAGTATACTCTTTCCTACCTTAAGTCCCAAGATACCTGATTAGCAATTGGTTTGATGTACGCTCTAGCCCACCCTTAAGAAAACTTAGTCATGGGAATTACTGGCTGAAGTTAGTAACTGCTATCCATTCCAAGTGTCCCTTGAGTACATCTGTTTTCTTCGTTTAATATGTAATGTGTTTTGTCTCTGCCAGAGCACTGAATCATTCTCCTTACTTTAATGCTTGTCTCCAAGCTTGCTCCCTTTCAGTATATTTATAGATGCAAGCTTTTTTCCTTAGATATAAATTTGATTCAATGCCTTTTTTTTTCTGGATAAAGTTTGTGTTGGCACACCCTTTCTTTTAGAGTTCCTATTCTTCAGGTTTGATGCTTTCAGTGGTCTGGTGCTGGCGCGCCTCTTTTCCTGACTCTCTTCTCTGTACACATGCTGTTTGAGACTGTACTGTGTGTGCATGACTACAAGCTCCTTGCACTTCTCCCAGCAGACTGTTTTTCTGCCTCACTCTATTGCATGGTTTTGTAAGGGACTTACACATAGCTTAGAAATCGAATCTAGTGCCACCTGTCAACTCTGGACTCCCTGTCATATCTATATTAATTCAGATTCCGTAGAGGATATTTTTCTTATAAGTTGCTGAAATTTGGAAATTTGGTACACTCAAACCTAGCTAGATGTATAACTTCCATAGGAAAAAAACCCTTTATTTTAAAAAGGTTACAGCTTTTTAGGATGGTTGATAATCCCTCGAAACAAAGAAATATATTTATAGTGCTTTATTTCTTTGCTTTCTATTTTTCTTCCTCTCTGGACAGAGTTCACCTGTTGCATAGTGGGATATTTAGTAAATAACTTGTGAGTAGAAGCTTACTGGTTTCTTAATTGGCAACCTAATGGCAGGTCTCCTTTGTTTTCCATATCAAGTGTTTCACGAGAGACCCTTAAAAGCCGGAAAAAATCAGATTACAGTTTAAATAAAGTGAATGCGCCTATCTTGACAAACACTACCCTGAATGTAATAAGACTTGTTGGTAAGTAGCTATACCTTTTTATTTTAAAATATTATGTCATTTAAAGTAGTGTGCTTAGTTATTGAATACTTTTTCCATCAAGTTCTTTGTGTAATAGTAGTGCTCCCTGAAGTTAAGGGTTTTAGAATATCATATACCAATGTTTGTCATATTGAAGGCCTCAGATGGTAGTAGACAAATATTAATGTCAGTGTCACTTTTCAGTCAGTTACTTGAGTCATTGCATCTTTCTAATTTTACTAAGCTATTCCAATTGACTGAAATGCAATAAAGACTCTGTAGTTGAGTTAGAGGTGTGTGTACAAGGATGATAGTACCAATCTTTTTAATATTTTTAATATTTTTTAGAAGAAGCAAACACAGCTTTAACATGCCCAATAACAGTTTCCAGAGCAAAGACACAGCTCCTTCAAAAGTGGCTATAAAATTTCTACATTTGCTGTTGGATCAATACAGTTATACAATATTGAACTCAGTATAAGCTCTGTAAGGCATAAAATTGAATAAGTTTTAAACCTTCAAAAGAGATCTCCATTTCATTCTAAAATATACTGTTCCTTACAGAAAGACTCATTGTTTTTGCTACTAACACTGAGATGTTCATGCATGCGTCTCTAATCTGTATGTATCTGATTATTACTAGTCATAATCTTTTGCACTTGGATCCTTGGTGCAAAAGATTATGACTAGTAATAATCAGATACATACAGATTATTACTACATGCACCAACATCTCAGTGTTAGTAGCAAAAACAATGAGTCTGTCTGCAAGGAACAATATATCTAAAATGAAATGGAGATCTTTTTTAAAGGTTAAAAATGAATCTAGTCAGCCTATCTAGAGGTCTTTGTTTTAGGAGGGTCAGCTGCTCCTCATCTAGCAGAGGGTCAGCTGCTCCTCATCTAGCAGCAATCAGTTGTCAATATTCCCTTTTATAAGATTGAGGTCTGCTGTTAATTTTCCAAGTTCTGTGCTGGGTTGCTATCTGGGAGTCCCTTGGGCCACCCTGGCCAACAACTCAAAAAAAGATATGACCTATCTGTCATTGTTGCTTGTTATGTAGCCTTTAGCTATGCATATGGACTCTTAAGAAATTACATTGGCCCCTTTAATCTTTGGTTATACTTTCCTTTTGGGTGTTTAAGGCCATAAAGTTAATCCAGATAAATCAGTTATTTTTACTCTTAAGGCCGTTTGAGGATCTGTTCCTCAGGGGTCACATGGGCTTGGGAGGAGCCCCTGGCTTCTTTCTTTTACCAGTTCCACCTATGTGAAGATAAATCAAAGGTCCTGCTCGACTATAAATCATCGGGTAGATTTCAGCAGTAATGTTTATCACCTCTACTAATTAGCATGACGTAAATTTCCATGCTTTCTTGTCAAATATAATACATTTACCAAATTTGTTGATTTTTTTTTGTGTGTGTATCACACAGAACATCCCAAACCATCTTATTCGACTATACACCCACTTCTCAGATGGCACCCTCCCATAGCCTCCCTCCCCCAACTTGAGCCCTTATACTCTGATATCCCTGCTACTGTCTGCTGTGTTGTCAGCACGCCCAGCCGTTCCCCACTACTTGTCCATCTGGTGAGCCTAGTCAGCCTATCTAGAGGTCTTTGTTTTAGGAAGGTCAGCTGTTCCTTATCTAGCAGCAATCAGTTGTCATTATAAGATTGGGGTCTGCTGTTAATTTTCCAAGTTCTGTGCTGGGTTGCTATCTGGGAGTCCCTTGGGCCACCCTGGCCAACAACTCAAAAGAAGGTATCTCCTATCTGGCATTGTTGCTTGTTATGTAGCCTTTAGCTATACATATGGACTCTTAAAAAATTATATTGGTGTTTAAGGCCATACATTTGGCCCAGATAAACCAATTTATTTTTACTCTTAAGGTCGTTTGAGGATCTGTTCCTCAGGGGTCACATGGGCTTGGGAGGTACCAATTTTATGGTCACAATATTTTTCAATTTAATTGCCTCATAGAGCTTCCTGGCCTTCTTGTCAGATAAACAGAGTGAATAGTGATTGCTGTTTTCAGACATGAGGCCTTTACAAACGAAATGGTCAGATCTTAGGAAGTGTTCTTGTTACAGATGAGATATTTCGTCGAAGGCAAACAACAGGAACAAATGACATTTTAGACATCAGCTCCGAAGGGGATGTCGATTTTTTAATGTCAGTATTTCACCATCTTGCATTCTCTCAGCCTTTATATTTCACAAATAGGTCCATACATTTGACAAATAAGTTACAGAGCTTCTCACAGTGTTATCTACACCAATCAGGAATTACAGTGATTGTCTGCATTCTACATTCTACTTATGAAGATGTTGTTTACCTATTGCCTTGTTATAGTAACCTCAACTCTGATGAAATGGTTTGTATTATTTAATTTCTCAGCTTCATTATTGAGTAGGATAAAATGTACAAAATGCCTTAGTTGTACTTTCTTTAGAAAAAGAAAAGCCAAAGTCTTAATGAATTGAGAAGAAAAGGTATACATTTCATGCCTTAGAAAACTATTCTGTGGCTAATTTTGTCAAGATAATTAGCTTTTCTTCTTTTATCCACAAGAGCAAACTGAACAGTGGTGTGAATAACTCTTTAGAATTTGCAAATCAGAATTAGAAGTGTGTTGAGAGGTCATCTAGTGCCGTCTCCACAGGATGAGATTTTTCTTTCAATAGTGTCCATAATAAGTGGACATCAAGCTTTTGTTTCATAACTCAGTTGCTCAAAGCGGATTATATCTTAAGGCTGCTTATTCTACTATTAGACTGATCTAATTGCCAGAAATCTCTTCTCTGTGGTAAATCAGATTCCTTTCTAATTCTGTGTGTTGGACTTGATTCTGCCCTTGTAGAAGAAGAGCATATTTGTGCTGTTTCTCCTCTTGTTTTTTCATGTGATCCCTGTAAGATATGTGGTAATAGTTATCCTGTCTATGTTTTCCTCAGACCTCCCACCCCCAGTCCATTTCACAGACTTCAGTGTATAAGATCCCCTTCTTTGGTCTTCTCTGATAGAAATTCTAAAGCTTGCAGAGACCTCATCTTTCTTAGCCTCCTTAGCCTCATTAAATTCAGAAGCTTTGATGATGGCATGTACTGCTCGAGATGTAGTTTGTCTAATTTTGCTCAGTGTGTTGAAATATGAAGCAGCTTTGCCATGTCACTGGCCTCCAGCCACAGGGTATTGTCCCAGGCAGCACTATAAGTCAAGAGATGTAGATAGTGACATACAGTATTCTGATAGAGAACAGGAAAAACATAATTGATGAAAATAATGCCATTGGCCACATGTAAATGGTTTTGCTTTTTAACCATATCCAGTTCAAAAGGAACTAGGAGTCATACTGCTTTTTTTCTAAAAAGACACATGTTTATTAGACTCAAACCAAGTGGAATGTAAAAACAAATTGAGCAAAGAGAGTGTTATGTTTTTTCATGTTAAATGCAGACATCAAGCACAACTCTTAACTTCTTGGTTAGCATAAAGAATTTGAAGATGTTATGTATTCTACTGTGTTCATTATCAGAAAGAATTCTTGCTTATAATGATAGAAACTTACTCTTGGTACTAAATTCAAAAGATCATGACAACAAATTATTTTTTAACAGTAGGTTTACAGAAATTGAGAAAAGCCATATTCATACGGGCCTGTGGTATATCAGCCATACAAAGTCAGGCGCTGTTTCTGTGTAAACGCTCAGTGAAGAGTAGCTATTGTAACTTCAGCCTGTCTACCCCCACATGCAGTGCTGAGTATGATTATTTGACTTTCCAGTCTTCTTATTTGAGATTGGGGTGAGGTGCTGCCCTTGTTCCTGTCCTTGTCCTGAGTCCTATCCCCGCCCTCTGCCAAGTCTCCCCATTGTAGACTTTAATGCCAATTTTCCTGAGGATGCCTTTTTCATCAGTTTGTGCATATTCATAAAGTAGAATTTGAACGGTGCCACTTACCATGGGCGGGGGCACTTTTCAACTAGTGAATGTTTGAAGACCCTGGGCTGGCAGAGGTACTATTTCTTACCACAGAAGTACAATTGTGTAAATCAAATAGGAGGAAGAAAACACTCCTGATGTATTATTTTTGTCAGTTTGATTATTCAACTGGTTTTTTTCCCTTGTTTTTGTTGTTGCCATTGTTTAGTTTTAGAGAAAAGTTTATTATATATCCATAAGTGATAGCTTAAGAGAAAGAAAGTCATGCCATTTGAGTTAGGTGTGGATGTCAGCCACATAGTGGACAAGCAGCCACACGGTAGGGGGAGGGGAGCTTCAGGGAAAGAGTGAAAAAACCCAGTGTACTAGAGAAAGTGTACTCAGGCCCTGGCCAGCATCAGAAAAAAGGACAGAAGAAAAGACAAAGGAAAAATTCTGAGTGAGTCCTGACTCAAAAAGGGAGGCTGACCCAACAGAAGCTCATAGTGGCCCTGGAGTGACTGTCCTAGGAAGGAAAAATATGTTATACCATTAAAGGACTAATTATTCTTCCTATATTTTTAGCATGGTGTGCTGGATAGCTTTAGTGTCAACTTGACACACCGGATTGAGGGAGGCTCAATCGGGGAATTGCTTCCATTGGCCTGGCCTGTGGCCATGTCTGTGGGGCATCTTCTTGACTGTTGAGTGATGTGGGAGGGCCCAGCCCACTGTGGGTGGTGTCACCCCTGGGTAGGTGGGCCTGTGTTGCATAAGAAAGCAGGCTGAGCAGGGGCAGGAGGAGCAAGCCAGTAAGCAGCATTCCTCTTTTGGGAGGTATTTCCTCAGGGTCAGCACACAGAGGGTACCCACACCTCTATTTCAAGCTGGAAGCAGGACTTGGTAATGTGTAAGAGTCTCCTGCATGGTGACCCAGGAGATGTAAGATAAATAAACTCTTTCCTCCCCAAGTTGGTAGTGGTCAGAGTGTTTTGTCACAGCAATGGAGAAACTAGGACACATGGCTTAAGGTGAACCTGACTTTGTGAGAGGTTGTCCCATGGCTAAGTG